AGTTCGAATCCTTTACCGCTTTGTAACAATCTATAACCTTTCAAAAATGTGCGAAATCTTCTTTAAAGTAGCTAATGATATTTCCACTGGATCCGATCGGTCATCTCACATAGCTGCCGACGGCTAGCTTAAGCTGTTTATACCATGGGCTCTTACAGTTCAACCACCGCTTGCTCGAGCATCGTAGTGACTGTGATTGGATATGAAAATGATATGTAAAAATATTTACCTTTGATATATATAAATGTTAGTGGGTTAGTAAAAGTAGAAACACGTGTTTAACGTGAAAGTAATATTCGTAATAATCCAACTCAGTTTTGGACTTTTGAGAATGAGTATGGAGACTCTGTTGTAAACAGGTGGTTTTTCTTATTTTCCCATATACTCACAGAGCAAGATATTCTACTGTGTAATAGGTCAGAATGGGATGGAGAGTAAGGTACCAAGTCATGGGGTTAAATGCGCTGTGAAATTATTGCACTGTACCAGATTGATGTTTTCCTTTTAATTTTTTTAAAAGTTGGATTTAGAAATATTTCATTGCCAATGTGGGCAAAGTATAATAGGCGGATTTTTAGGACAGGACCTGAGGACTGGACCTGAGAGAGCAATTTAGGATCGGACCAGAGGACTGGACCGATTAGTGGAATTCGTGGAATAGATAATTTAATGAGATAGAAGTGATGATTCATCCGAAACCATAGAGACGGGTATTTTAAACTACCTGATGGTAGAGAAAGTTTTGTTCCATATAAGATCGTGATTAATAATATAGCAGGCGCGCCATTCCCAATGGTGCTTCTGACTGAGTTCACCTATTTCAGACTTGACACTCTTTTCGAAGCGTTACTCGGTTTCAACCACACCAATCCTGCGTATGTATGACATGGGCAATATATTATTACAGCACAGTACTGATCGTTTTGATGCGACTCTGAGCCAGCGTATACACTGGGACTACATCTGAGATGTGCCTATTTTGCAGTACAGCGTCTTTGCTTGATATAAAAATAGTTCGCAACCGTGGGAGTAGTCAAACTTTTTGGAGTCTAAGGAAGTTGTACTTGGGGGCTTGTGGATATCAGAGCTGGAATATAGGCATCGCAAACAACTTAATATTGTATTGAGCAAAGCAAAGAGCTGATCATTGAGTACGTGGATTATATTAGAGATGAATTGTTCACCAATTATCAAGAAGCCAATCCAAAATCCCAGAACCTCAGAATCACAAATATTGAGTTTTGGAATTAGGATTCAAATATTCTTGATATTGGAGTCATCAGAAATATTAGCTGTAGAACTGGTAAGCTATACAGGGACTCGAGTGAGAGAGAAACACTCCAGTAGAAACCTGAGTCTAGTGAATTAGAAAACATAAATAAAGACTCAGTTCGGTTCTCTCAGACTAGGGACTTTTCCTAGCTGAGATATCCGTACTTGAGAAGAGGTTTGTTGTATCCTTTGGCTCGTACATTTCAGCTACGCTCCACAATCTACATTTTTTATATAAATATCCCTTGCTAAGAACCTCACATACATCCCTTTATGAAGCCTATAACACTTGTATTACATAAGAAGAAGAGCGTCGAGACTGTAACAAGGCGATAACTCTGAGATTAACAGATAGTCTGTAGAACAAAGAACCATTGACGCAAGAAACTGGAACAAGGAAACAGGCCAGAGGCTGTCCCACGAACTCCACTGTCCCTGAGAAATAATAAGGTGTGGGTAGGGAAGTTTTCAGTGCTGTCTCGTGACTAGTAGAAGAAGAACACCCCAAAAAGTGTCAAGGTGATGAGTTCATCAATGTTGGGGACTTTATAAAGCGTGAAAATTGTGAAGGAGTGCCACAAAACATAACTAGTGATGTTAATTCACAAACACACAGTTTTAAGGACATTATCAAAGGTTGTGGACAATCCAACCCGCAATACAAAGGATCAAAACAACTAACAGAACCTGATCGAGCACACCACGTGCTCAAGCGATCAAGGAAGGTTAATTGAGATCGAAATCACTCAAACCCCCTAAACTCCACATCTAATACTACAAACAAATATCAATTAGGAAAAAGGTATATACTGAAACCTCTTCACAACAAGAGCACCAAGACCATAGTCATCCGAGACATATAGAGGCAAATGATAGTCAAGGATGAAATCGCCTCAAATGATGAACACCTCTGGACATGTAATCAGATCAGAGTGACTACACTACAAACATATGACAGGATCGAGATCACAATCCACATACAGAATACTCCAACATTACAAAAGCATGAATATGCAAGGACAGAAGGGAGACAAGCTCAAGTGAGACCTAGATGAAAAATTCATAACTCATACACGAATCACAATAACAAACACGGGAATGAGCCACACATGCTTTAAGAGAGCAAACATTACACGATACATAGCACTTTGCAATATAATATCAACATAACAATATTATACTGTGGTGGCCCTCAGTCAGGAGACACAAGAGCACAGAGACACATCACATAGTGACATCAAAGCAGAAGATACATAAGACATAACTAGTGATGTTAATTCACAAACACACAGTTTTAAGGACACAATCAAAGGCTGGGGACAATCCAACCCACAACACAAAGGATCAAAACAACTAACAGAACCTGATCAAGCACACCACGTGCTCAAGCGATCAAGGGAGGTCAGTTGAGATCGAAATCACTCAAAAATACACTCATAAGATTACTAGTTGAGGCCTACGGCAATAATAAGAAAGTAATATAAGGCATAAATATCCAATGCACACCATATGAATAACACAAGATACGACACACAAGAGACAATCAAATTTAAAGAGTAACACTTGGCTTGTAGTGCACAATCAATGAACATACTAAAAACAGTATTGACACATGCAATCGATGGAATATGCACTCTGAAGATTGAGGGGGTCTAGCAACAGAACAATCATACTCATCAGTGTACAACATAGTAACACGAGAGACAAACATATCTGAGGCAAACTAAGAATTAAATGGGGTCGAAATTCAGAGGTCGCACATGGATGAAACGTGAACTACTTATATGTTGCATATACAATAAATAAAGTTAAAAAAAGTTTAACAAATGCTTTTACACATAAGTTCGGGACAATACAAAACATCTCAAGTGACGTCAACAAGACCGAACATCTCAGGGGACATCACCATTACAACAAGTTTGGTACAGGACCGAACATCTTGTTAAGATCACTAGAAAAACAATTTCACCTATGACGAACCAAATACAAGTAGGTCCACACGTGACTAAATATGCTTAACTAACAAAGATTACATCAACCTTCCCAATCACAGGAAGGAACGCAACAAGCCACAGCACAACTGGAAGTGCAGCAAAGCATGATAACAACAAAGGTACATAGGATAAATTAAAATTAAAGTTATTACACAAGTTACCGACAAAGACAAGGTGGATGAAGCGCTCATTCGTAGTAAATATAGCGCAAATCCTTACTAATAACCAGTGATACACACATAACCACACAGACAACTCAAGATGCCAACAGCAACCAGAACAGGTGTGTATGGTGGTGAACGAGGTGGTGCTAGTGCGGATGAAGCAGGTGACAGTCCAGCAGAGGGACCAAGCACAGGCAGTGGCTCAAGCCAGCCAACACCTGGTGGGGTACCCATACAAGCTTCAGCAATGCGTTTAGAAATAGACAAAAGCATCTGTCAAGGCAACTACGTCCTGGTGAGTAGGTTTGTAGCCGAATTGGAACAAACAGCACCAGTGTCTATCGCGAGTCCACACAAGATGAGAGTAGGCATTCACGCAGCAACCAGAACGACGCATGCCAACTGTAGATTCAGAACTCAGAA